CCGACAGAAGCTGAGTATTGGTATATTTCCCTTAAAAAGTTAAAATCGTTTTCAAAGCCTCTGAATTAAGTGTTCTGGGTGCCTTGGTGCACATTCTGGGAGCCACAGGCCTTGGGTATTTGGGGAAAATAAAAGTATTTTCTTTTCTTTTTTTTGGAGATGGAGTCTTGCTCTGTCATCCAGGCTGGAGTGCAATGATGCTATCTCAGCTTACTGCAATTTCCACCTCCCAAGTTCAAGCCATTCTCCTGCCTCAGCCTCCCAAATAGCTGGGACTACAGGTGCACACTACCATGCCTGGTTAATTTTTTGTATTTTTTAGTAGAGATGGGATTTTACCATATTGCCCAGGCTTGGTCTCGAACTCCTAAGCTCAAGCAATCTGCCTGCTGTGGCTTCCCAAAGTGCTAGGATTATAGGCATGAGCCACTGTGCCCGGCCAAAGCATTTTCATGTTAGGAAAGAACATGTTTGTATAAGGGGGAGTGAGAGGAAATGAAGATAAACTCTTAGGCAGGGGTAACTTATGCAAGACATTGTCTGCCAGGTTAGGTTTTATCAAAGCCAATGGATCACCAGGAATGCATGGTCTTAGTATCAGGAAATGAACAGTATAACTTGAAAGACAGATACGTGTACATATGTACATTTATATACATATATATCTACAATACATTGTAATTACTCCCCTGAGAAAAATATATACTAAATGATTGATTTTTGACTTGGAAGGAGGTTAGAAAAAGCATTATAAAATATAGAATGTACAGGTTGGTCCCTGAAGAATGAAGAATTGACCAGAAAAAGATAGAGTCAACTACAAAAGCAAATCGACAGATGTGATAGTGCATGGCATATTTGCCAACTGCACAGGACTGGTATGGCCAATGAATAAAAATTGTAGCAGAAGACAATGAAAAGGTTTCCTGGGGCCCACTGTGAGTAGTTTTGAATGCAATACTGTGGAGTTTAGACTTTCTTCCAATAACTACATGGAGCTGTCAAAGATTTCTAAGAGGTGACTGATTTGATTAGTTTTGTGTTCTAGAAAGACAAATCTGGCTGCATGCAGATTGACTGGGAGACTGGCTAGAAGGATGGTTGTATTGGTTAGCTAGTGCTACACTAATGCTGTATAACAAACCACTCTAAAAGTAAGTGTGTTTCTCTGAGCATTTCTCACTCATGGGTCTGTGAGTTGGCTGCAACTCAGCTGGGGTAGGCTGGAATACAGGCTCTAGGCTGCAGGGTAGGTCCAACACATTTCTACGTTCGCTTTGGACCAGACACTACTTGGGGGAATGCTTTTCTCATGGTAGTTCTTAGTGCAAGAGACTAAGCCAAATGGTGCAAAGGCACATGTAAAGCCTCTGCTTGTATTGTGTCTACTTTCTGTTGAACTAAGCAAGTCACATAGCTAATCCAGAGTCACTGACATGATCACTTGAGGCCAGGAGTTTGAGACAAGCTTGGCCAACATAGCAGAACCCTATCTCTACAAAAACTACAAAAATACAGGGCATGGCAGTGCGTGCCTGTAATCCCAGCTACTTAGGAGGCCGAGGTGGGAGGATTGCTTGAACCGGGAAGGCAGAGGTTGCAGTGAGCCAAGACTGTGCCACTGTACTCCAGCCTGGGCGACAGAGCAAGACTCTGTCTCAAAAAATAAAAACAAAAACAAAGTCACTGATATGACATCAAAGAGAGGGAAGAATGAACAGCACTCCATTAACAGTACTTCTGTTAGCTAGTGTACTAGCTTATGCCTGTAATCCCAGCACTTTGGGAGGCTGAGGTGGGTGGATCACCTGAAGTCAGGAGTTTGAGATCAGCCTGGCTAACATGGTGAAACCTTGTCTCTACCAAAATTAGCCAGGCATGGTTGTGTGTGCCTGTAATCCCAGCTACTCAGGAGGTGGAGACAGGAGAATTGCTTGAATCCAGGATGCAGGGGTTGCAGTGAGCTGAGATCGCACCACTGCACTCCAGCCTGGGTGACAAAGCAAGACTCTGTCTCAAAAACAAACAAACAAACAAACAAAAAAAAAACTCCTGTACTATAGTAGAAATAAGAGATAATTAGGGCAATAACATTGGAAAGGAGGGCATAGAATCAAAGGTATTAAGCAGCAAGAGTTCCTAGGACTTAGGGTTTATTAGAAGTGAGGTTTCTATCTTGGGAATATGGATTATAAACTAATACAGGGTGCTCAGTAGGTGCTAGGCACCATTCTAAGTGCTTACCTACACTGATCAATGCAATCCTGTCATAACAACCCTATGAGATAGAGCTACCATTATCTCCATTTTATAGATAAGGAATTCAGGCTGGGCACAGTGGCTCATGCCTGTAATCCCAGTTCTTTGGAAGGCAGAGATGGGATGACTGCTTGAGCCCAGAAGTTCAAGACTGGCCTGGGCAACGGGATGAAATCCCATCTCTGCAAAAAATAGAAAAATTAGCTGGGCATGGTGGTGCATGTCTGTAGTCCCAGCTACTCAGGAGGCTGAGTTGGGAGGACCACCTGAGCCCAGGGAGGTCGAGGCTGCAGTGAGCCATGATTGTGCCACTGCACCCCAGCCTCCAGCTTGGGCAACAGAGAAAGACCCTGTCTCAAAAAAAGAGGAGAGGGGAGAAAAGGGGAGGGGAGGGGAGGGGAGGGGAGGGGAGGGGAGGGGAGGGGAGGGGAGAGGAGAGGAGATCCAAAGCTCAATAGTTATATAACTGCCTGAGATTAAAAGGCTGCTACATGGTGAAGTGTGGATTTGAATTCATGACAACTGGGCTGCACAGTCCACATGGCTGGCCACAATGAACACTGTCTCTCAACTGTGCCTATCAAAGAGTGTACTTACTACATAAGATGCATAGCAGTGCCATCTATGCCATTCCAAATGCTGACCTTGAGGCATGAAGTATGCTCTTTAGATGCAGCTTGACCAAATTAATTGGCAAATTATTTGCAAAGCTGCAATAATCCAAAAGTAGGATAAACCAAGAAAAGTCCACAGGCTAACAACACATGAGGCCTACTGTCATAAGTTGCAGTGGAAAGGAAGGCTAGAGGGAGCGACATCTTCCACATCACCAATATTTCTGCAGGGCCTGCCAGTGTGGGAGGAGATTAGGAGTAATCTTGGAGATAAAACCTTCAGACTGGAGCCTGCTGGCATCATAGAAAACTAAGGGATTAAAATCTGTCTCCACCGAAGAGAACTGTACATTTAGAGGAAGGAGTAATGTCAGGAATGAGGGATGGAAGATTGAGTAAACTATGATTGGGTTAAATGGTGGAAAGAAGTGAGGCAGAATATCCAAAGAAGGAAGGTAACTTCAACTGCTGGATTTCCATCAGGAAACCTTAGATAAACTCTAAAGGTAGTGGTGAGAATGGGGATACAAGCAGAGGGTTGTAGACTCAGAGGAGGAAGGTGCACAGTCCTACTTTATACTTTAAACAGCTGTATACCCCAGATGTTGTTAGCCTGGGACTCAAGTTGGAGTTTCATAGTCAAATGCACAATTATGCATTAGTGTGTGTGTGTATGTGTGTGTGCGCACATGCATGTGTGTACATGCACGAGTATGTGTGCATGGATCTGAGCATTTTTCTGGGAAGAAAAAAATATCCATAGTGTCCATTCAATTTTCAAAGAGGCTCTTGATCCTAAAGATGTCCAGGACAACTGATGGTATAACTTCCTTGAATAAACGTGGCTGGCTCCTTCCTTGGGGGGCCTGTCTTATTGCTGATCAGCTCTACTGGAACATCCTTCCTCATATCTGGCTGGTGTTTATCCTCCAGGAACTCCCACCCCCAGTCTTGGTTTGTCCTCTGGAGCAACACCAGGTAAGTCTAATCCCTCTTTCTTCTTTCTAAATGGAAACTCCTTTCTCAGAGTATTTATTTATTTTTTCCTGATAGGAGCTTAGTTGTTAAAACAAATCCTTGACATTTTTGATGCTTCTAAAGATTCTTATGGAGTCAGCAAATATCCTCATATTCGAAAAGTTTGTAAGTTTGGCTACTTGGAGCTGAAAGGTAACCGATTCCATTACTACTTAATCCCATATAGCCTCATAAGGTGTAATTTTCATGTTTGTTAAAATATTGGAGAAAGGATATAGAATTCTGTCCTCTCTCTGTTTGGCAAATCATGCTTAATGATAGCTCCAAAGGTCTGATTTTCAGAAAAAGCAGCTTTAACAAGGAGTACGTAACATTCTGACTGTAACCACAGAACTTCAGAAAATGCAAAATAAAAACAAAAGTAAGTTTATTATGTGGAAAGACTTTATATCATAGGATTGAATTTTTGTTTAAATCTTTGACCTCAAACTTTTTTTTACATATTGGCTTTCTTATAAATTATACAACATAAAGCTTTAGTAATTATGTTTTAACCATATTTGTGAATTTCTCTTTCTTCTGTTTATAATCACCTTGATTTAGTTACCATACTGGAAATCAGTGCTCCATCTCCCCAGCGCCACCCCCACTCCACCTCTCTTTGAGACAGAGTTTTGCTCTTGTTGCCCAGGGTGGAAATCTTGGCTCACTGCAACCTCTGCCTCCTTCCGAGTAGCTGGGATTACAGGCATGAGCCACAACTCCAGGCTAATTTTGCATTTTTAGTAGAAACGGGGTTTCTCCATGTTGGTCAGGCTAGTCTCAAACTCCCGACCTCAGGTGATCCACCAGCCTCGGCCTCCCAAAGTGCTGGGATTACAGGCGTGAGTCACTGCACTTGGCCTCCAGCTCCTTATCTAGTATGAGGTCTGCTTCAGTTGAAGCCAACTGCTAATTCAGCTATCTGGAGCAGCCATAGCAGGTAATCACCAAATGTTTGTTTATGTAAGATGAGAAGAAACAAATGCTCATTCATTCAGTGAGTATGTGTTGAAAACCTGTGTACAAAGCATACAAAGTGCAAGGAGTCAAAGTGTTACCAGTGGACGGTGTCCAGGCAAAATAATTGGACAAAACACACAAAGCAAGGAAAAAATGAAGCAAGGAAAGTACAGATTTATTGAAATGAAAGTACACTCCACATACTGAGACAGGCTTGAGCAAGCAGCTCAAGAGTGCTGGTTACAGACATTTCCAGGGTTTAAATACCCTCCAGAGGTTTCCCATTGGTTACTTGGTTTACACCCTATGTAAATGAAATACTGGCCTACAATCAGTCTGATTGGTTGCAGAAGGTGGCCAATCAGAGGCTGAGGTGAAGTTACAAAGTTACACATGAAGACTTGGCCTGCCACCAGTCTGATTGCTGATTGGTTGTAGGAGGGGTCCAATCACCGGTACTTTCATTTTTCATCTGCAATGCAGAAAAGGGGGTTGTGCAAATGGAGTAGCCTCTGATCCTTTTGTTACTTGGGTGTGGAGAGGTGGGACTTTCCCTTTTGATTCAGTTCTAGGAAGTCACTGCAAATCCATCTTAGATTCCCTGCCTCCAGACCCTATTCTGCCTCAAAAGAACTTACAGTGTAGTTTAGTACCCAAGTTAAGGCAGATACTTAAATTGTTGTAGAGGTAAAATAACACAACAAATAATATAGCTGAAACACCAACAATGTATATAAAACAATCATACAGTATATACCAATTAATTAAAGCAGAAAGAGAGAAGAGAGGAAACAAAGAACAGATGAGAACAATTAGGAAACAAAGTAGTGCAATGTTAGATTTAACCCCGATATTCATAATCACATAAATTATAACTTGTCTAACCCAATTGACAAAACAAAGATTGTCAGATTGAAAATCAAAGTAAGACCCAATAATATGTTGACTTAAAGAAACCACCTTTTTGTGGAAGGGGGGAGCATTTTTTAAATTGACAAATGAAAATTATATATATTTATGGTGTACAAGATATTTGGAAATATGTATACATTGTGAAATGACTAAATCAAATGAATTAATAGATGCATTAATTAATAGATGCATGTGAATGCTTTTTTTGGTGAGAACACTTAAAATCTATTCTCTTAGCAATTTTTAAGTTCAGGTATATCTTATTTTATTGTTATTTTTTGTTTTTTGGGTTGTTTTTGAGACCGTCTTGCTCTGTCACCCAGGCTGCAGTGCAGTGGTGCAATCTCAGTGTACTACAACCTCCACCTCCTGGGTTCAAGCAATTCTCCTGCCGTAGCCAAGTAACTGGGAGTACAGGCACCCACTATCATGTCTAGCTAATTTCTGTAGTGTTAGGAGAAAGGGTTTTTTGCCATGTTGGCCAGGCTGTCTCGAACTCCTGACCTCAAGTGATCTGGCTGCCTTCACCTCTCAAAGTGTTGGGATTACAGGTGTGAGTGAGCCACCACGCCTGGCCTATTGTGCTTTTTAAAATTGCACTTTGCAGATCTTGAGGTTTTTTTCAAATTGACGTTTTGTGGCAACCTTATACCAAGCAAGCCTATGGGTGCCTTTCTTCCAATTGCATGTGCTCACTTTATGTTTCTGTGTCACATTTTGGTAATTCTTGCTATATTTCAAACTTTTAAATTGTTATAACATCTGTTATAATATAGCTGTGGTTAGTGATCTTTGATGTGACAATTGTAATTCTTTTGAGGTACCATGAACCATGCCCATACAAAGTGGCAATCTTAAATGTGTGTGCTCTGACTACCCCATCAACTAGCTGTTCTCTGTTTTTCTTCTTCTCCTTGGGCCTATGTATTCCACAAGACACAATATTAAAATTAGGCCAATTAATAATCCTATAGTGTGGCTGGGTGCAGTGCCTCATGCCTGTAATCCCAGCACTTTGGGAGGCCGAGGTTGCGGGGATCACCTGCGGTCAGGAGTTTGAGACCAGCTTGGCCAACACGGTGAAACCCCATCTCTACTGAAAAATACAAAAATAGCTGGGCATGGTGGCATGTGCCTGTAATCCCAGCTACTCGGGAGGCTGAGGCAGGAGAATCACATGAACCTGGGAGGTGGAGGTTGTAGTCAGCTGAGATTGCGCCACTGCACTGGAGCCCAGGTGATAGAGTGAGACTCTATCTCAAAAAAATAAACAAAATAGATAAAATTCTATAGTGGTCTCTAAGTGTTCAAATAAAAGGAATAGTTACATGTCTCTCACTTTAAATCAAAAGCTGGAGATGATTGAGCTTAGTGAGGAAAACATGTCCAAAACTGAGATAGGCTGAAAGGTATGTCTCCCAGGCTAAAGGACAAGACACAATCATAGTTCATTGTAACCTCAAACTTCTGGGCTCAAGTGATCCTCCGGTCTCAGCCTTCCAAGTACCTGGAATTACGTGACCCATGCCACTGTGCCTAGCTAATTTTTAAAGTTTTTTTTTGTAGAGAGAGACTCTTATTATGTTGCCCAGGCTGGCCCAGGCTGGTCTTGAACTCCTGGCCTCAAGTGATCTTCTTGCCTTGGTCTCCCTAGTCCTGGGATTACAGTATGAGCCACTGCACCTGGTCAAGGAGAAGTCCTTAAAGGAATTTTAAAGTGCTACTCCAGTGAACACATGAATAATCAGAAAGCAAAACAGCCTTATCACTGATCTGGAGAAAGTATCAATGGTCTGAATGAAAGATCAAACCAGCCACAACGTTCCCTTAAACCAAAACCCAATCTAGAGCAAGGCAATAACTTTCTTCAATTCAGTGAAGGCTGAAGGAGGTGAGGAAGCTGCAGAAGAAAAGTTGGAAGCCAACAGAGGTTGGTTCATGAGGTTTATAGAAAGAAGCCAAGAAGCCATCTCCAGAACATGACAGTACAAGGTGAAGGAGCAAGTGCCAACGGAGAAGCTGTAGTAAGTTATCCAGAAGATCTAGTTCAGATCATTAATTGATGAAAGTGGCCACTCTAAGCAACAGATTTTCAGTATAGAGAAAAAGCCTTCTATTGGAAGAAGATACCATCTTAGCTAGGTGTTTCATAGCTAGAGAGAAGAAGTCAATGCCTGGCTTCAAAGTTTCAAAGGACAGACTGACTCTCGTGTTAGAAGGTAATGCAGCTGGTGACTCTAAGTTGAAGCCAATTCTCCCTGACTATTCTGAAAATCCTAGGCCCCTTAAGAATGATGCTAAATCTACTCTGCCTGTGCTCTATACATGGAACAACAAAACCTGGATAACAGCACATCTATTGACAGCATGGTTGATTAAATATTTTAAGCTCACTGTTGAGATCTACTGCTCAAAAAAAAATCCTTTCAATATATTACTGCTTGTTGACAAAATACCTGTTCACCCAAGAGCTCTGATGGAGATGTGTAAAGAAATTAATGTTGTTTACATGCCCACTAACATAACATCCATTCTGTAGTCTGTAGATCAAAGAGTAATTTCAATTTTCAAGTCACATCATTTAAGAAGTACATTTTGTAAGACTATGGAAGCCATATGTAATGATACCTCTGATAGATCTGGATCTGAGAAAGGAAATGGAAAGCCTTCTGGAGAGGATTCACCATTTGAAAAGCCATTAACAACATCTGCAATTCACTGGAGAAGGTCAAAATATCAACATCAACAGGAGTGGGAAGAAGTTTATTCCAGCCCTCATGGATGACTTTGAGGGGCTCACAACCTCAGTGGAAGTAACTGGAAATGTGGTACTAGAACTAGAATAACTAGAGCCTGAAGATGTGACTGAATTGTTATAGTCTCTTGATAAAAACCTAAACTGATGAGAAGTTACTTTTTATGGTTGAGTAAAGCAAGTGGTTTCTTGTGATGGAATCTACTCCTGATAAAGATGCCTATAAGCTTTGTAGAAATGACAGCAAAGGATTTAGAATATTCTGTAAGCTTAATTAACAAAGTAGCAGCAGGATTTGAGAGGACGGACTCAATTTTGAAAGATTTGAGAGGACTGACTCAATTTTGAAACAAGTTCTACTGTAGGTAATATGCTATCAAACAGCATTGCACACTACAGGGAAATCTTTCACGAAAGGAAGAGTTGATGGATGTAGTAAACTTCACTGTTGTCTTATTTTAAGAAATTGCCACAGCCACACTGGCCTTCAGCAACCACCATCCTGATCAGGCGGCAGCCATCAACACTGAAGCATAACTCTGAACCAGCAAAAAGATGATGACTTGCTGCAGGCTCAGATGATGGTTAGCATTTTTTAGGCGTGAAGCATTTTCAAACTACGGTATGTACCTTTTTTAGACATAATGCTATTGCAAACTTAATAGACTACATTCTAGTATAAGCATAATTTTTATGTACACTGGGAAACCAAAAAGTTTGTGTAACTTACTTTGCCATGATATTTGCAATATCTTGAAGGTATGCCTGTATATAATACATTGTTATTAACTATTGTCACCATGATATAGAATAGATTTCTGGAACAATTCTCCCTGCCTAACTGCCATTTTATATCCTTTGACCAACATCTCCCCAATCCCCTTACCCACAGCCTTGGATAACCACAATTTTACTCTTTACTTTTATGAGGCTGACTTTATTAGATTTCACATATTAGTGAGATCATACAGCATTTGTCTTTTTGTGTTTGGCTTATTTCACTGAACATAATGTTCTCCAGGTTTATCTGTGTTGTTGCAAATGATGGGACTTCCTTCTTTTTTAAGGCTGAATAAAAAGACAAAATTTTCTTAATCCACTTACCCATTGATAGACACTTAGGTGCATTTTATATCTTGGCTATTGTGAATAGTGCTGCAATGAACAAGGGTGTGCAGTATCGCTTCAATGTACTGATTTTTCCTTTAAATATATACCCAGTAGTAGGATTGCTGGATCGTGGAGTAGTTTTATTTTGATTTTTTTGAGGAGCCACCATACTGTTTTCCATAATGGTTGTACTAATTTAGATTTCTACTAACAGTGTGCATGTGTTCTCTTTTCTCCACATCCTTTTGTCTTTTTTTTTTTTTACAATAGCAATTTTAACAGGTGTGAGAGGATATCTCAATGTGGTTTTAATTTGCATTTTCCTGATGATTAGTGATATTGAGGTTTTTTTCATATACTTCTTGTCCATTTGCATATCTTCTTTTGAGAAATATCTATTTAGGTTCTTTGCCTATGTTTTAACAGGTTTCTTTGTTTCCTTATTATTTATTTGTTTGAGTTCCTCATATATTTAGGATATTAGCCCCTTGTTAGATATATGGTTAGCAAATATTTTTGTTCCATTCTGTTGGTTGTCTCATTATTCTGTTGATTGTTAAGAAACCCATTTTAAATATAAAGACACAAAGAGGTTAAAATTAAAAGAATAGGCGAAAAGAAATACCATGCTAACGCTGTATTAGACAAAATATTCAGAGCAAAAATTATTAGAAGGATAAAGGTCATTGCCATAATGATAAAGAAGTGATTTGATCAAGAAGACATAACAATCCTAAATATTCATGTACTTAATAACAGAGCTTCCAAATAAAAGGAAGCAAAACTGATAGAACTGCAAGGAGAAATAGACTACTTGCAATTATATTCAGAAATGTGCTTTCTCAATAAACGATAGAACAAGTACAAAGAAACTCAGTAGGGATATGGGATACCTGAACATCACTATTAATCACCTTGACCTAATTGACATTTATAGAGCATTCCATCCAATGACAGCAGAGAAGACACACTTCACAAATGCACACAGAACAGTTGGGCATGGTGGTTCACACCTATAATCCCAGCACTCTGGGAGGCTGAGGTGGGTGGATCACTTGAGGTCAGGGGTTCGAGACCAGCCTGGCCAACATGGTGAAATGTCTCTACTAAAAATACAAAATTAGGTGGGCATGGTGAAGCATGCCTGTAATCCCAGTTTCTCCAGAGGCTGAGGTGGGAGAATCACTTGAACCTATGAGGCAGAGGTTTCAGTGAGCCGAGATTGCACCACTGAACTTCAGCCTAACTGATAGAGAGAGAGACTCTGTCTTGGAAATTAAAACAAAAACCAAAAACCAACCAACCAAACAACAAACAAAATACAGAACATTTACCAAGATCGATCATTTTCTGGGCCATAAAACAAGTCTCAAAAACCTGAAGACATTCAATTCATATAAATCTTGTTCTCTGGCTATATGCATTGAAATTGGAAATTGGTAACAGAAAGTAATTGGGAAAATCCCTGAATATTTGAAAATTAGATCGTATAATTCTAAATAACCCATGAGTCACAGAGAAAGCAAAAGGGGAATTAAAAGGCATTTTTAACTGAATTAAAATGCAAATCCAATATATCAAAACTTGTGGGATACAGCTAAAGTAGTACTTTACAGATAAATTTATAGCCGTAGTCATCTATTTTAGAAAGAAGAAAAAGTTTTAAATCAATGACCTCAGCTATTACCTTTAAAAATTAGGGGAAATTTGGGAGGCTGAGGTGGGTAGATCACCTGAGTTCAAGACCAGCCTGGCCAACATGGCAAAAACTTGTCTCTTTTTATTTATTTATTTATTTTATAAGACGGGGTTTCACCATGTTGGTCAGGCTGGTCTTGAACTCCCAACCTCAGGTGATCTGCCTGCCTTGGCCTCCAAAGTGCTTGGATTATAGGCGTGAGCCACCATACCTAGCCGACCCTGTCTCTACTAAAAATACAAAAATTAGCTGGGCATGGTGGCAGGTGCTTATAATCCCAGCTACTTGGGAGGCTGAGGCAGAAGAATCACTTAAACCCGGGGAGGGGGCTGTGGGGATGGAGGTTGCCCTGAGCCAAGATCGGGCCACTTCACTCCAGTCTGGGCAAAAGAGCAAAACTCTGTCACACACACACAAAAAAATTTTAGAGGAAAACAAGCAAATGAAACTCAAAGTAAATAGAAGGAAGAAAAATAATAAAGATTGGAGTAGAAATCAAGGAAATAGAACACAGAAAATCAGTGGAGATCTTTTTTGAGATCAATGAAGTTGATTAAACTTTAGCCAGATTAACAGAGAGAAAGAGACAGAGAGAGAGAGAGAGAGAGAGAGAAAGGATATACAAATGACCAATATCAGGAATGAAAGGTGACATCACTACAAATTTTATAGATAGTAAAAGAATAATACAGGGATTTTATGAACAACTTTATGCCCATATAAATTAAATAGGCAAATTTCTTGATGACACAACTACCAATAAGAAATTTAAACCTGAAAATCCCTGTATTAAAGACAATAAATTTGTAGTCACCTCACACAGTGGCTCATGCCTGTAATCACAACATTTTGGGAGGCTGAGGCAGGAGGACTGCTTGGGCCCAGGAGTTTGAGAACAGCTTGAGCAATATAGCGAGACCTCGTCTCTATAAATAATGAAAAATTTAGCCAGGCATGGTGGCGCATGCCTGTGGTCCCAGCTATTCAAGAGGCTGAAATGGGAGGATCATTTGAGCCCGGGAGGTTGAGGCTGCAGTGAGCTGTGATAGCACCACTGTACTCTAGCCTGGGCAACATAGCAAGAATCCTGTTTCAAAAAAACAAGCCCAGGTGCAGTGGCTGATGCCTGTAATCCCAGCACTTTGGGAGACCAAGATGGGTGGATCACCTGAGATCAGGAATTCGAGACCAGCCTGGCCAACATGGTAGAACCCCGTCTTCACTAAAAATACAAATAATTAGCCAGGGGTGGTAGTGGGTGCCTGTAATCCTAGCTACATGAGAGGCTGAGGCAGGAGAATCCCTTGAACCTAGGAGGTGGAGGTTGCAGTGAGCCGAGATCACGTCATTGCACTCTAGCCTGGGGAACAAGAGAGAAACTCTGTCTTAAAAAACAAAACAAAACAAACAAAAACAAAAACAAAAAAGCCCACCAAAACCCAAAAACTTTCCCACAAAGAAAACTCCAGGCCCAGCTGATTTCACTAGGCAAATCTACTAAACAGTTAAGGAACATGTAATGTGAATTTCACACAGATTCTTCCAGAAAATCAAACAGGAAGGAATACTTTCTATTCTATGAGGCCAGCATTACTGTGATACCAGAACTAGACAAAGGCATTAGAGGAAAACTACAGACCAATACACTTCATAACACAGATTCACTAACTCTCAACAAAATATTAGCAAACCAAAACCAACAATCATGATCAATACATTATCCTAGGAATGTGAGTTTAGTTTAACACTTGAAAATTAATCACTATATTAACAGACCAAAAAGAAACAACATATGCAGAAAAAGCATTGACAAAATTCAACATCCATTATAGATAAAAACCCTCAGCCAAATAGGCATAGAAGATTCCTTTCTCAACATGACCAGGGGTATTTAGAAAAAGCCTACAGCCAACATCACATTTAATGGCCAAAGATTGAAAGTTTTCCCCCAAGATGAGGAACTAAACAAAGATGTCTGCTGTTACCACTTCTATTCAACATTGTACTGGAGATTCTAGCCAGTGCATGAAGGCAAGGAAAAAATAAAAAACAACATCCAGATTGGAGAGGAAGAAGAAAAACTGTGTATTTGCAGGTTGTATGTTTATCAGTAGAAAATCTAAAGGAATCTACAAAAAGCTTGACTAAAGGTATTAAATGAATTTAGCAAAGTTTGAAGACATATGATCAACATACAAAAATTAATTCTATTTCTATACAATACCAATGAATAACCAGAAATTGCCATATAAAAATAGTATTCAATAACATCAAAAATATGAAATATTTAGGAATAAATCCCAGAAAGGTGAACAAGATCCGTATCTTAAAAACTATAAAATTAAACTACATTAAATTGAGACATGAAAAAGGACTGAAATAAAGTGTTCATGGAATGTAAAATTTGATTTTGTTTTGATATAAGTTCTTCCCAAGTTGACCTATAGATTCAATGCAATCTTGATCAAAATCTCAGTGGCTTTTTGTTGAAATTTGACAAGGTGATTCTAACATTCATATGCAAATGCAAAGAACCTAGACTAGCAAGATCAATACTAAAAAAGAAGGGCTAAGTCAAGGGCTGAAACTGCCTGATTTCAAGATTTATTACAAAGGGAGAGTAATCCAGATAGTGTGGTATTAGTGGCAAGACAGATAAATATATAAATGAAACAGAAGGAGAGTTTAGAACTAGATTCTTACATACTTGAGCAAATGATTTTTTGAAAAGGTGCAAGGGTAATCAGTGGAGATAGGGTAGTGTTTTCAACAAAAAGTACGGGACAACTATATATCTATGCAACAAAACAACAAAAGAACTTCAAACTATATTTCATACCACATACAAAAATCAAGTAAAGATAGATTATAAACCTAAATGTAAACTCCAGAACTATAAAATTACTAGAAGAAAACACAGGATAAAGTGTTTGGGGCCTTGTGTCGGGCAATAACTTAGTAGATATGACACCAAAAGCATGATCCATAGAAGAAAAATAACAAATCCAACTACAGAAAAATTAAGAAGGTGTACCTTATTTTCTTTTTAAGAGACAGGTTCTGGCTATGTTGCCCAGGCTTGAGTGCAGCAGCTATTCACAGGCCCAGTTATAACATACTCTCGCTTCCAACTTCTGGCCTCAGGCCATCTTCCTGCCTCAGCCTCCTGAGTAGGTGGGACTACAAGTGTGCACCAGGGGACTTGGCTGAAGGACTTCTGTTTTTGGAAAAACACTGTTAAGAGAGTAACAATATTTGTCAATCACATACCTGATAGAAGATTTGTATCTACAATATATAAACAACTCTATAATTTTTTTTTTTTTAATTTTAGAATTGGAGTCTTCTGTGTTGCTCATGCTGGACTTGAAATCCCAGGCTTAAGCAATTCTTCCTGCTCAGCGTCCAGAGTAGCTGGGATAGCAGGCGTGTGTCACTGGGCCCAGCCAGGATATATAAACAACTCTTAAAACTCAATAACAAGGAAAAACCCATCCATTTTTAAAATAGGCTAAAGACTTGAAGAGACACTTTGCCAGGAGGATTTACTGATGACAAGTCCATGAAAAGACGTTCAACATCTTTAGTCACTAGTGAAATGGAAGACAAACCCACAATGAGATAACACTACAAACCTATTCAAATGGCTAAAATTCAAAAGACTGATCACTCCAAATGTTGGTGAGGATGCAGAGCAACTGAAATTCATATGCCGCTGGTAGGAATGGAAAGTCACAACCATTTTGGAAGGCAGTTTGGCCCTTTCTTAATACGTTAAATATACACCTAAAACAGGACCCAGTTATTTCATTCCTAGATATTTATACCCATGAGAAATGAAAGCATATATATCCATACAAAGACCTGCACGCGAATGCTCATAACAGCTTTGTTCATAATGGGCAAACAATGGAAATAATCCAAACGTCACCAATAGGTGATTGAATAAACACATTGTGCTGTATCCCCATAAAGAATATTACTAAGCAGTAAAAAAGAACTCTTGGTAGGCAACGACTGAATAATCTCAAAACGATTATGCCAAGTGGAAGAAGCCATACAAAAAAGAGAGTTTGTACTGTATGATTCCATTTATTTAACATTCCAGAAAATGCAAACCAATGTACAGTAATAGAAAGAAGATCAGTGGTTGCCTGGAGAGGGTGTGTGGGGGCGAGCGATGCAGCGAGTGAGTACAAAGAAGCACACCGAGAAATTTTTGGAGGTGATGGGTGTGTTCATTACCTTGGTGGTGATGGTTTCATGAGTGTACACATGTGCAAAATTGTACGCTCAAAACACATGCAAATATATCCCAGTAAAGCGAATTTAAAATGTATTGTAGAGGGCACATTATGTGATAACCATACCGTGTGCCAGGCTGTTAGCAACGTGTGAAGTGCATTCTCCCCATTGGTACTCACAAGAAGTTTATCAGGTGGTTACCGTGCTTGTTTCCTTTTACAGACGAGAACACCGAGGTTTGGAGAGGTTGTTACAGCGTCTTTCCCTACTGAGATTGGTGGTAGGAAAATATTAAGTAGAGGAGAGGCACAGTGAAGTGCCAAGAGCTCTGGCACTCATTACTTAGATCCTCGTGAGGGTGGAATGAACGGTTGAAACCCTCATGCCTACCTTGCAGATGGACAGACTGAGGATCGGAGAGACTGAGGTGGCTTGGGGGCTGTCAGGTAGGCAGCGCCTCCCCGCACCTGGCAGCAGGTCCCCGTGGGCTGAAACACCAGCCTCCACCTGCCGCTGATTGACTTCTCTCTTTTTCAGCGGGCCCAAGACCCTGTAAATTGAGTTCCCTGTGTTTCTGGGTGTCAGAAACTTCACTGAGCGCGGCACTGTTGCGGGGCAGGAGAAAGGTAAGATTTAGCACTGACAGAGCACGCGAGTCACCACGACAGCTTTCGGGTCTCGCCGCCCGGCGCTGGCGGGTAGCCAGCCGGCGTCTCGCCGCGGGTCCCGGCCCTCAGCCCGCGGCCCCTCCCGGCGGCTCGGCGGGGGCGTAGCGGAGGCGGGCCCGGGGACGCTCGCTAGCGCTCCCGCGCGGCGCCCCCTGCCGGCACCCTGCTCCCTCTTGCCCCTGATCCGCTCCCGGCGGCGCGGGGACCCGGACCTGAGAGCCAGCGGGAGGGCGGCGCGCTGCGGGTGAGCGGGCGCACCCTGCGGGGGTAGGTGGGCTGCAGGGGTGCGTGTGGGCGGGGGCGCGGGGCGGCGGCTGCGGCGGCGACGCGTGCGGGCGGGAGCCGGCCCGGGCAGGGGGCGCGTGCGGAGGGGTCGGCGCGGGGGCGGGGCGGGTGGGGGGCCCGGCGGGCGGGGCGCGCGCGCGGTGGCGCGCGGCGGGCGCGAGTCATCAATTATGCAAGGACTCTGGCAGCGCGGGGGGCGGGCGCGGGGAGCGCTCCAAGATGGCGCCCACCGCAGTCCCGCCCGCCGCAGCCTCGGCGCCTTTGCAGTCCGACCGCGCCTCCCGGGCCCCGCGTTAGGGCCGCCGCTGCCTCCCTTGCCGCCGCCGCCGCTGCCGTAAGTCGCCCCAGAGCCCCTGTCCTGGCGCTGCTTTTAGCCCGCCGGGTTTCCCTTCTCGCCTCGGGACCCTTGAGCGGGGCTCGCCCGTCTCCAGTCAGGGGCTTTGCCGCAGAGTGCGCGGCGGGGCTCAAGGGGCCGTGGAGCTGGGGTTCTGCCCTCCTTGTTTTGGACAGGTGTTTGGAAGTCTTGCTTCCTTCTACCATGTGTACCGGGGGTCTCTTAGGAGAACTGAGGACCACCAGCCCCGACGCCGGGCACCCTGCTCTCTGCGTCTCGGCTACAGTGAGGGACACGGCTCGCCCTTGGTGCCTCTTCCGCGATGCAGCTCCCCCCCCCACCCCTCCCCAGTGCCAGGGCAGAGTTGGGGCCCTTAGCTGGCTTGCACTGGGAAGGGCAGCGCTGTCGGGATCTTCCTACAGCAGCCCCTCTGCTCTCCCCCTCCCCCATGTCTTACTGCACCCTTCTCCCTCACTGGCTTCACATTGCTACCAACTCCAGAAGCCAAGGGCTCCCGGGTTCTTCAGGCAGCCAGCACTCCCGACTCCCCCTGTCCTTTACTCGGATGCGTTCGTCCCCCTCCCAACAGGGTGCTCTGGGGTTGTGTTGGGGGCTCCCGGGACCTTCCTCGGCAGGCTAGGATTCCTGCATTTGGGAGCATATCACTTTGAGGATACCCCCTTCCCCCACCCCACCCCCACCCCTACGCCACCCGATGCAGAGCTTGTTCCTCTCCTCTTCCTCCCCCACCTTACCATCAGCAGCAGCACCCTTGACTTCTTGTTAGCGATGGGGTACAGGACTGTTTGCCCAGCTCCGTGGGCTTGGACCCTCCTCTCTAGTTCTCACTTGGTACCTTGGGGCACCGCAAAGCCTCTGCATTTCTCCCGAGAGCTCGGCTCCATCCCCTCCGTTGCCAGCAGCAACCACCGGTGGAGACTTGCCGTTAAGTTTCCCGGGGTTAGCAAGGACTATCAGACCCTTTCAGGGGCCCCAGCTTCGAGTTGGGATGGAGTGGGAACCATTTTTCAGCCAGATAAATAGGATTCTTCAAACCATGCATTCCATCTGACTACTCCACCCTGTGCCCTCTTCCTCACTTACACTGCAGTTTTTGAAGCATGGGGGGATACATTTTATATCCGGAGATTCCAAGATTTCGCATCAGCGTTCATAATAAATGGATGTCATCTGTTTGGGGGAAGGGTAGAAGAAACTTTGGATTGCATCTGGCTAAATTCAGAGGGAGGGAGAAATAATTAGCATGGAGCAAGCTCTGCCACACAAGGAAAACTGCTTTTCATGCACAGTGGGCACTAGAGTCAGGGATGGAAGTAGGAAGTGTGGGTGGGGACATTGGGGGTAAAGGGGGAGAGTGCTTTAATACCTGGTTTCTCAAGTTTGAACCTGGAGAGCCTTTAGAGAGAGGTAGCAGTGTGTTAGGGCTGGGGGCGTTTTAGCTTTCCAATGGAGATTTCGGGTGTGGTAGGTTTTTCACTGTCTCAAAATCCCTCTGTACTTCTCATTTCTCCACGTGCATTAGAAGATGCGGGGGGGGGGTGTTGTGCTTTTCTTCGTTTATCAAAAAATTTTTTTTTGATTTGTAATGCAAATGGCTGAATAACATTACCACGCGGTACCGTCCTGGTAGAAATCTTGGGGGAATCAGACTTAAAATGCTGAATGCTTTGCTTTGTAGCACATTACATGTAACCTGGTTCTTGAAATACTGCAGCATTTTTCTTTGGAACTCATGACCCATAAGGCCTTCATTTCTCCCTGAAAGAGGATTTGATTGCTGGTTGGTGGGGTGGTGGTTGTGGGTAGCGATCCTTTGGTGTTTGGCACGCATTCCCTGTCCTAGAAATTGAGGTCCTCCCTGGAGAGGACTGCAAGCATGTTCTGTGTTCTCTGAACATCTGATTCGGGGTCTATGTAAATGTTTTTCTGAGTAGAGCTGGTGGTGGATATTGCAAAGCAGTTCATAATGATGCAGGTCAGTTGTTGGTTTCTTGGGTTTGGTTTGAGCAGCTTTGGTTTTCATTTAGGGCTTTGTCAACTTTTATCAAAACCCTTAGAGTATTTTATTGTAAATTAATAAAGGATAATCAAGTGGAATACAGCATCCTTAAAAACAACCGTACGGTTGTTGTTGCTTTCATTGTAGGACCCTTATCAAATGTTTCTCCTGGTCCAGCTTTGGGTTGCCTGTGTTTTGGCTTGTGCTCTGGTTTCTTGCTGTGGTGCTGAAAGGACAGTTCCCCGACCAGTCCTGCGGCGGAGTGCACACACGCTGGACATGATTGGTTTTTTCTTTGCTTTTTATTATCAGCAGGCTTTCCCGTGGATGTGTATGTACATGCGCAGCTGGGTTTGTACTTGAGGTTGAAGGCCTAGTTATCATATTTTATTACTCCCACATAACTCTTCATTTTGGCTGTCCCTCATGAAGACAATGTTTTACAGGCTGCAACAGATGCATATGTAAGCCATAAGTGACATTTTGCTGACTGCATTATTTCAGCAACTTCAGTCATTTCAAATAGCAAGCAACGGTTAATATTCTTGGTTTCCACAAGAAGTAATCCGATAGCTGGCTAAATTAAACTGGATCAGAAGAGCATCTTCTCTGGGTTGATTTGAATAGTGAACTGGGAAAGGCACTTGACACAGCAGAGGCCAGTATGTAATTCACAGTATTACTAAAGTAAATTTGTCCAAAAAACTATTTTAAAATCACAAAATAGGAAGGAGGCCATAAAATTCACCTTGTACCGCCTCCCACCCAATATGGGATTCCCCTTTATGAGAGGTCTTTGCTTTGAATACATCCATTGGTAGGGAACTTAATGCTACATAATGTAGCTCATTCCATTTGGATTCTACTGTGATCGAGGTATTTTAATCTCATTGAAAAGGTAACATAGATAAAGTTGAAAGACATATAAATTGGGGCTGTATCAGGGGCAAATGCCATTCTTGTGCTTGTTTCCAAGAAAAGATTGAGAATCATTGTTCCATAGAGAATATACAAGAAACTTGGACTTTCTTGAAAAGAATGCAAAAATAGAGACATGTCCACCTAATGCAAGAAAAACATTCTGTGAATGGAAAGAAAAATAATTATGTTTAATGTGCTGGCATTATGTAACAAATTGTTCTAGAAGGCACATGCTTGAGTTAATGAATATTCAATTCCTATGGATTATATCTAAGGATAATAAAGCTACACTATATAGCAAGTGTTAAAAATCCAAAGTTTATCCAGAGTTTGATCAGTTACCATAATTATAAAAACACAAACTTATTGCAGAAAAATTGTAATATATGTAAAAACAGAGGGAAAAAGTCATCCTTAGTCTTACCATTCTTACTACCTTTGTTTTTACCATAAGCAAAACAATTATCTGTGTTTTATTATGTTTTTCCAGTCTTTTTTTTCCCCATGGAGAGGGAAAGAAGCACTTGTAAAGTTATCCAGAATGACAGTATTTTAAAACGGAGTCCTTTAAGCTCTTAATTTTATAATTCGCAAGCTAGTCAATTAGGGTCTTAAACAGATTGTTGCATTTCAATTTACCTTTTCTTAATCCTTCAGAAATTTTCCCAAAAAAAATTTAATGTGAAAGAATTCACTCATAGAATTGGACTGCCATTAAAGTGCCTTTGTTTATATTTAGAATATTAACTGAGGAATAAAGAAACCTTTTCTTAATCAATGAATCAACAAATAGTCTTCACTCTGCGCCTACTATGTATAAGGCACTGTACTGGACACTAGTACAATGCTTCTCTAAGCTGGTGAGCACCAGCTTAAAACATAATACTGTGCTCAAAAACTGTGGCTGTTAAGTTGTCGAAGGAAACAGAGCTTTTGCTGTATAAGTTTATTACTTGCTGAAATGTATGGCAGTTTCTTAGGGCCAGCCAAGTGATTTAACCTAAAAAAGAATTGTTTGTGCAAGAATGGGAAGTAAATGCAGGCAAAAAAAAGACAAAGGAGGTTTCTGGGGAAATTATCCCTTTGTGAAGTTATAGAGACACAGCCAGGACACATATTTAAGTACTATGTTAGAGATTAAGGTGAAATGAAAACCCAAGAAGGTTGCTATAGTTACATCATTTAGAAGAAAATGTCAGAAGCAGTATGGGCTTTGGAGTCAGACAAAACTAGATTCAAATCCCAACTCTGCAACATATTAGCTTTGTGACCTTGGGCAAGTTATTTAATCTATT